CAATGGTGGAATGTCATCAGTTAAGGATATTTTCACTTCTTTTATGGATCTTCAATTGCTTCAGGCCATCTGGATATATACGTGCAGGTCACAGGGGATATGATGGCTTAGCTTGGGCTCAGAGGCCTGACATTTCTCTCTTTTCTCAGTCTCTCAGAGACAGGACCTGTATTTTAAAGGTTAAACAAGCAGATTCTGGCTGAGCTCAATTGCAGATTTGATTAACTTAGATAGATCAAAGACAGTAGTCTCAGAGAAAAAAATTGTTTCTCATCCCTAAAGTGCTATTGTGTCAGCTCTGCCGGGGGAAGCCTGGTGTAAGGAAAAGGGTTTGGAAGAGAGAAGAAAATTTCTTGCCCCCTCTCCTCACTGCCTGCTGTAAATTTGTAGTATCTTTATCTTGGCCTCCTAAGTCCCAAGAGCTGCATTATATATAATTGCCCATATGTGATACCATTTACTGAATTCTTGCGTTGTGCTAAGCATCAAGTTTAGCACTTTACGTGAATTACCTCGTTGTCTTTAGGGACCCCAAAAGTGCCTCACTGGAGAGTTGTTTGGTCTGCTAAAGAGTGGGTACCACTTTTACTTCTCACATCAGTCCTTTCATTCATTCATCCAGCAAGTATTTACTAAATACCTGTTATGGGCCAGGAATTGTGCTAGGCACTGGTTATACATTGGTGAATAAACAGATATATTTTTTGCCTTTGTGAATCTTACAGTGATAGAGACTAATAGGCTAAGGGGGTGCTGTTTGGCTAGGAATGTCATAGAATGCCTTTCCGAGGAGGTTACTTTTAACATAGACTTGAAGAATGAGGAGTCATGCTAAGAATGGATAAGAGATCATTCAAGACAAAAGCAAACCAGATGTGTAAAGATCTTGAAGTAAAAAGAATTCCAAGGAGCCAGGTATGGTGGCCTGTAGTCCCAGACACTTGGGAGGCTGAGACAGGAGGGTCACTTGAGTCCAGGAGTTTGAGGTTACAGCAAGCAATGCTTGCACCACTGCACTTCAGCCTGGGTGACAGAGTGAGAACCTATCTCTAACAAACAACAACAAAAGACAACTCCAAAGAGTATTTGAGGATCTGAAAGAAGGCCTGTATGGATGGAGTATAACAGTAAGAGGGAGATTTGTAGATGAGAGCGAAGAAGAAATAAAAATCAGATTATTGAAGGGACTTACGTATCATGGTAAGGAGTTTTTTTTTTTTTTTCCTCAAGGCAATAGAAAGCCTAAGCAGAGGAGTGATATAATCTGATTTCTATTTTTAAAGGATTTTGCTATATGTATGTTATACTTCAATTTTATTTATTTATTTATTTATTTATTTATTTTTAGACAGAGTCTTGCTGTGTCGCCCAGGCTGGAGTGCAGTGGCGTGATCTCGGCTCACTGCAAACTCCACCTCCCAGGTTCACACCATTCTCCTGCCTCAGCCTCCTGAGTAGCTGGGACTACACGCCCGTCTAATTTTTGTATTTTTTAGTAGAGATGAGGTTTCACTGTGTTAGCCAGGATGGTCTCAATCTCCTGACCTCGTGATCTGCCTGCCTCAGCCTCCCAAAGGGCTGGGATTACAGGTGTGAGCCACCACGCCTGGCTGTTATACTTCAATTTTTAAAGAGAGACTTTAAGAAATGAAGATGACTCTGGCTACTGTGTGGAGGGTTGGAGAGAAGCAAAAGTGGAAGCAGACTGAATAAGGAGACTATTGCTGCAATTCATATAAGAGATGATGGTGTCCTGAAAGAGTGGTGGCAGTGAAAATTGGGAGAAGAGGGCAGAGTCAAGATATATTTAGGAGACAGAAATGACAGGTCTTGATGATGTATTATAAATGAAGAATGAAGAATAGAATAGAGAAAAATGAATAATTAGCTCTGAACTTTCTGGCTTGAGAAATGGGGTAAATGGGGTGTAATTTACTGAAACTGGAAAGATTTAGAAAGGAATAGATTCGAGGAATCAAGAGTTTGATTTCAGATTCCTTCAGTCCGGGATGCCCATGAGATTTCCAACTGGGGATACCAGATAGGCAGTTACACATGAGATTGGAGCACAGAGAGATGTGGGCTTAAAATATAAGTCTGCATCTCATCAGCTTATTCAGATAGTATTTATATCCATGGATATGGCTGAGATCCCAAAAGGAGAGAGTGAAGAGAAAATAGAGAAGAGAGTCTAGGGCCAGACCCAAGGAAGCTTCAACACACAGATGAGGAGACTGACAAAGAAACTGAAAAAGGAGACTGACAAAAAACTGAAAAAGGAAACTGACAAAGAACAGCCAGAGAGAAAGGTCAGGAGAATGTTTTGACTGTCCGGGGCCAGTCTGGGGCCAGAATATGCTGTCCCAAAATAAGAAGGATTGTTGAGCTGAAGGCAAGTTAAAAGAAGCAGATACAGGCTGGGTGCAGTGGGCTCACGCCTGTAATCCTAGCACTTTGGGAGGCCGAAGTGGGCAGATTGCCTGAGCTCAGGAGTTTGAGACCATCCTGGGCAACATGATGAAACCCCATCTCTACTAAAATACCAAAAAAAAAAAAAAAAAAAAAAAAAAAGCCCGGAATAGTGGCATGTGCCTGTAGTCCCAGCTACTCAGGAGGCTAAGGCACGAGAATTACTTGAACCCGGGAGGTGGAGACTGCAGTGAGCTGAGATCTCACCGCTGCACTCCAGTCTGGGCAACAGAGCAAGGCTCTATCTCAAATAAAAAATAATAATAATGATAATAATAATAAAAGAAGCAGATACAGGAGGGGTCTTCTGCCCTCCCTCTATTTGCCTAAAAGAACATAAATTTACAAAGACAAAAGTTATCCTGCTTCTACCTCCCTCCTCTGCCTCCTACCACCAGGAAGAACAAAGGTTAACCACTGAAGACAACTTTGGACTCTTACTGGCCTGGAAATGGTACTGGAGGAATCGACATTAACAAGCTTTACAAATTAGCCTTTATCTGCCATTCATTTGCCTTCCCCCAAGGAGCCACCCATTAGAGACTCAAAAGTCCTTAAAGGTCTTTTCCTTTGTCTTACACTTTTTAAAAAATTTACTGTTCTTTGTTGAAGATGCTATATAAGTTGGAATTCTAAGCCACCTTTTTGAGAACCGCTCATTCTCTGGGTGTCTGTCATGTATATATGAAGTATACATGTTAATAAACTTCTGTTTGCTTTTTTTTCTTGTTAATCTGCCTTTTGTAACAGGGGTCCAGTCCATCTGAGAACTTATTGGAGTTATTGTCCTACATGACAAAGAACTCATGAGAATAAGTGTTTCAAGAAGGGGATGACAAATGCTGCTGAGAGGTTTGATAAGATGAGGACTAAAATGTGACCATTGATTGTGGAAGTAATATAATGAACTTGACGTGAGTTATGTTAGAAAATTACTGCTCACTGCACTCCAGCCTGGGCGACACAGCGAGACTCCGTCTCAAAAAAAAAAAAAAAAAAAAAAAAAAAAAAAAAAAAAAAAAAGAAAATTACTGCTCAGGGACACCAAATTAGAGGAGACTAAGAAGTAATAGGAAATTGAAATAGGAGATGTAGACAACCCTAAACTGTAATTGAACATAAACAGTTTATTTGATGGAGCTTTTCACATGTCAACCAAAAGAGCAGTGTCAGATACATAAACATTGCTATGATGTCAGAGTTCCAATGTTATGGCCACTGGGATCACTTTGCCCACACAGACCATTACCCTTCCTCTCTAGCTCTGACTTCTACTCTTCTAGAAGTCACTGGTATACTTTATGGTGTGTCTTCCAATCAGACTCTTGGGAATGTCTTCTATTGAAAACTCCTGTGGATGCATAATCGTTTTCCCAAGACTCAAGGCAGATTTCACCTCCTCTGGAACCCCATTAACTTTCTCAAGTATAATTAACAATTTCTTCTTCTGGAGTCCCACAATACTTTACATACACCTTAGTTATTGCATGTATTAAGTTGGTTTCTAGTTCCCAAAATAAGTTATTGCATGTATTAAGTTGGTTTCTAGTGTCCCAAAATAAGAAGGATTGTTGAGCTGAAGGCAAGTTAAAAGAAGCAGATACAGGCTGGGTGCAGTGGGCTCACGCCTGTAATCCCAACTAGACTGTGAGCACATTGAGGGAAGGAACTTGGCTTGGAAAGTAAAATTGGCTCCCAATGTTTTATCTAAACACATAGGCTCAATTTACAACAGGATTCCATCTTCTTATGTTGTGTATTCCCATCTCTCCTTTGCTCCATCCCACCATCCTTCAAGGTTATTACAATAAAATTCGGATCAAATAATTGATTCAACTAATTTTTCTTGTTTTGGACAAAATAGACATCCTAATACAGTTATAGCCAAAGTTTAATCTAGACACTAAAAGGAGCATATTTTACCTTTAGCCTGTATCTTTCCCGTCTCATTCCCAGTCAAGATAATCACAACTGTATTCTTTAGGAAATTCTTCACAAAGAACCAAACATATGTTCCTATAAAACAGATTCTTGGTATCCTAGTGAAAAAACCTGCCCTCTTGCTTGTCTGTAAATACTGGCCTTGTCTGGGTGTGGTAGCTCATGTCTATAATTCCAACACTTTGGGAGGCCAAGGTGGGAGGATCTCTTGAGCTCCAAGAAGTTTGAGACCAGCCTGGGTAACACAGTGAGATCTCATTTCTACAAAAAATTTTTTTAAACAGTTAGCCTGGCATGGTAGCTTGTGCCTGTAGTTCCAGCTACTTGGGAGGCTAACTTGGGAGAATTGATTGAGCACAGGAGGTCGAGGCTGCAGTGACTGCATTTCAGCCTGGGTGACAGAGGGAAATCCTGTCTCAAAAAAAATTAAACAAATAAATAAATAAGTAAACGCTTGCCTTGCCCTCAGATTTGAAGAAATAACTCATGATTTTTTTGGGAGGCTCAACCTGCCTATGCAGTACTTCTGTACTCTACCAGCAGTGTACCGTCAAGAGCCCGTTAATGATTTGTAATGTTTTGTCTTTCAGAACCAGAGGCAGGAGAAGTGTCCCCTCCAGTTGGTGCGGGTGTCAACAGCAACAGCTGGACCTTTAAATACGGACCAGGCAACCCCAAACAATCCGGTCCCGGTGAGTTGCCAGACAAATTCATTATCCCAGGATCTCCTGCAATCATCTCCATCCGGCAGGAGCCTACTAACAACCAAATTGACAAAAGTGACTTCATAACCTTCGGCAAAAAGGAGGAGACCAAGAAAAAGAAGAAAAAGAAGAAGGGTAACAAGACCCAGGAGAAAAAAGAGAAAGGGAACAGCACGACTGACAACAGTGACCAGTGAGGTCCTCAAATGGAAACAAGCCACTTAGCCAGTTTTTGTAATAATGGCAAATCTCTCCCATGTAGCAACTCCCTGCTCCTTTTTCCTATCTGTGTGAGCCCTCTTAGAGACCTCAGAAATCTGCAGAAAGTTCCCTGTGTCTGTCTAGAACGCATTTAACAGGTTTTGTCGTAAAAGCTTTACTAAGTCTGGTGTTAACTCTTTCTCTCCACTCTGGCTTGTTTTCAGAACCTAAAAAGCAGACCCAAGTTTCCTTTCTCCTCCGCCGCAAAGGAGAGGCTTCCCAGCCCCGCCAGTGAGAGGTTGGACTCTCTGCCCTGTGCTCCGGGGATCCTGTCTTGATGACACTTGCAGGGCAGGCTGAAAAGTTTTGAGATTGAGCAGCTTGGGTGTTTGTGGCCACTGGGTATGTGTGGCCACCGCGGGTATGCGAGTGCCAGACATTGGCTGAGACGGGCCAGCTTAGACTAATTGGTACAAGGAAGGCAAGAGAACAAAGACAAATAAACAGCGGAAGTTATCAGTGTGGAGGGGAAGTGTAAACTAAAAGGGACCAGACTTTCTAAATCTTACAACTCAAGAGGTGGTGGCCACCCTCTAGGAGACAAAACTACCCCCACTGACAAGGCTTTAGGAGACCCTAAAGTCCATTGGCTGTGATGTCATTATCCTAAAATCTGCATCTTACCTGCGAGTCAGCAGTTCAGTGTTTTAACAGAGAACCACCCTGGGAAACAGAAGCAGATCTGATGTGTTTCCTATACATGTCCTGTGCTCACTTTATTAAAAATTCTTTTGCACACAATGTTTATGAAAAGGTCAGATCCTTTTCCAATACTTATGCAAAAGCAAAAGAAAACCCCAACACCTCACCTTTCGCTGTTTGTTGTTTCATAGATTTATTTAAAAAAAGAGAAAGTCTATAGCTATAAATCTTTAAAGAGAAATATGAATACAGTTCCCCTAAACTTTCCTCAAAAGAGAATTGAGTCTACAGCCATTTAAATGATCATTGCTGCTACAGAAGTGCTTTAAGAGAATTGCCTGAAACATCTGTATTATATCGGCCACCTGCCAATCACAGCTTTACTCTTTCAGGTCACTCTGGGGCTGCCTCTTGCATGTATTACTAAATAAAATGATCTCTCTCTCTCTCTCTCTCTCTTTTCTAAGAAACAATTATGTGCACTTTGATACACAACCTTCTCTAACCAACTATATCAAGACCCAAAAATTGAAGAAAAATATTGTTTTCTCATACAGTGAGCAGATTTTTCAGTCTTCTAATTCTGACTTGTCTTGGTGTGCTAGCCTACACCTTCTCTTTGGTTTAGTTTTCCTTTTCTATAACACTCTGAATTGCTAATCTTACTAACACCTATGATGTTACCTGAAATCAATCTCCCATATGTATGCTGTATGCTATGATAAGACTCCTGAAATATACTTACTCTGTGCTTGTGTATGTGAATGTTAATGCAACTATTACCTAGAGTGAACTTTAAGCTTTATTGTTGAATGTAATTCCATTATATTTCCTTTTGTACACCTGTGAAAAAGTGGAGTAGTGTTTTTTTAACCATTGTTAATCAGCTTTTGTGTATGAAAGACACAGTAAAAATTTCTTTCTTAAATCAAGATACTGGTGATTCAAGGAATTTTATTTATGGTCCAACCAAGAGCCATCTCTTGCCAAGACTTCTGCTGGCAAGGGAATGGATAAAGCTGTTTTGTTCTAGTAACAATTTTGGAATGAATACTGACAATATTCCATGAGGGTGTGCAAGCACAAATTTTACCAATCTGACCTCTTTGAAGTTGCAGAATGCTTTGAAATTCTAATGGTATCTGAAGTATCAGCTCATAGAAAGTAATAAAATTTGCTGTCACCTTAAATAAGACATTTTAATTTTGTTATAATGTACAATTTAGAAGTTTGATTAATTGGCCGGGCGCGGTGGCTCAAGCCTGTAATCCCAGCACTTTGGGAGGCCGAGACGGGCGGATCATGAGGTCAGGAGATCGAGACCATCCTAGCTAACACGGTGAAACCCCGTCTCTACTAAAAATACAAGAAAATTAGCCGGGCGAGGTGGCGGCGCCTGTAGTCCCAGCTACTCTGGAGGCTGAGGCAGGAGAATGGCGTGAACCCAGGGGAGCGGAGCTTGCAGTGAGCCGAGATCGCGCCACTGCACTCCAGCCTGGGGCACAGAGCAAGACTCCGTGTCAAAAAAAAAAAAAAAAAGTTTGATTAATTATATTATCTATTTAGGCATTAATATAAAAGAAGTAGGAGTCTGTTATTTAAAAAAAAGCATTAAATTAAAAAAAAAACTGTCTTGTCTACTTTTAGCTTCATTCTCCCATATTTTGAAGGGTGTGTAACTTCAGCTCTGCAGGATTGCATGGGGTAAAACTTGTTGCCAACACATGTGAACCATTGCCACATTGTAGGTTGTGATCATTTTGCCCCACTGAAGCCCATGTATCTGACCTTACGTGCCTTTTGAACTAGGAGAATCGGGCTAATTTGTTAATGATGATAATTATAATGTATCTGTACAGCACTTTTTACATTTGCGAAGTGCTTTCCAATCCATGTTAGTTACTAGTTATTACAGCTGTAAGGATAAAACACGTCATGTGGATTCATTTTGAATTGGTGCTATTGGTATTTCCTCTGTTATTGCTAATAAATGAAAATGGTGGTATGAAAGAAATGGTGGTCATTTCTAAGTATAAGAGTAGGAGGAAATAGAACACTGATAAGCAATTAATACTAAGAAGATTGCTGCAGTATGAAACTCACTGTAACACTCTCTATCACGTTAGCTTTTATGTCGATTACTAAGGCAAAAGCCCCAATGGAATCAAGATTCGAACTTTACATAATTAGAATGGGCAGCAAGGAGGTTGCTGTGTTACTTTGTAGTTACACTGTTTTAGTCTTCTCTAATAAGAATTGCGACAAACCAACTTTTTTTTCTCTTTTTCTTTTTTTTTTTAGACAGAGTCTCGCTCTGTCGCGCAGGCTGGAGTGCAGTGGCGCTGTCTCAGCTCACCACAAGCTCTGCCTTCCGGGTTCACGCCATTCTCCTGCCTCAGCCTCCCGAGTAGCTGGGACTACAGGCGCCCGCCACCATGCCCGGATAATTTTTTTGTATTTTTAGTAGAGACGGGGTTCCACCGTGTTAACCAGGATGGTCTCGATCTCCTGACCTCGTGATCCGCCCACCTCAGCCTCCCAAAGTACGGGGATTACAGGCGTGAGCCACTGCGCCCAGCCACAACAAACCAATTTTTATCATTAGAGCCCTTCTAGTCATCTTTTTCATTACTTGTTTAGCCCCTGCACCTCTCTACAATTGGGAAGCCAAGTGACACCCCAAAGAAATGGACTTTTAGGTCAGGGATAGTGGTTCGTGCTTGTAATCTCAGAACTTTGGAAGGCCAAGGCCAGAGGATGGCTTGAGGCCAGGAGTTCAAGATCAGCCTGGGCACATAGCGAGATCCCATTTCTACAAAAATAAATAACTTTATTGAGTACAGGGTATATGCCAGCCACTCTACTGCATAGGTTCAGTTGTAACAAATAGATTGTTTTGTCCTTTTGTAGTTAAATTTGTATAAATATAAGCTTTAGATGCAGTAGGTTCTCAGGAGCAATTTTGCCCTCCTGGGGACATTTGGAAATGTCTGAAGGCATTGTTGCTTTTCATTACTTGAAGTGGAGGGTGGTACTGGCATCTACTGGATGGAGGGCAGTGATGCTGTGAAACACCTGGCAATGCACAGGACAGCCCCTACAACAAAGAATCTTACAGCCCAACATGTCAATAGTACCAAGATTAAGAAACCTTGAGATAGAGTGACCATATAATTTGTGTAGTCCGCTTTTGAAATGGAACAGGAGATACCATTCATTATTACTTCAGGATTCAAGATGTAAACTGGGACTGTTCCAGGCTAACTGGGATTTATAGGGACTCTATAAATAAGCTGTGCCACTAACTAGATGGGGAATTTGGGGCAAACCACTACTGCTCTCAGTTTTTCAGTCATCTCTATAATGGTAATAATATAATACAGACCTTATAGATTTGTGAGGTGATCTTGAAAAGTTTTTAGCAGGTCTGGCCACACCACAGTACTCGATAAATATTATTATTATTAATCCTTTTCTTCCATTTCCTCACCCGCTTTTCAGAGATTTAGCTATTAGATTCAGGTAACTTTTTCTACTGACTACTAAAATGTGAATAAGGGATGGCAAAGTAAATCAACATAGACTTGGCAATAAAAATATTTTATTTACTCCTCCAGTCTTTTGCTCACCCCAGGAGGAAAAGAATTAAGTTTCATAACTCCTTACCTATTTCTATCATAATAATAATCAAGTCCTTAAGTAGTCAAGTGGCCAGTCTGTTTGCAGCTATTTCACCTCAATTATCAGTGATCTGAAAGCCAGAAACCAAAGGGTTTGAAGTACAACAGCTTGAGAGAAAAAGAGAAGAGTCACCTCCAACAAGTTCTTTCAGCAGATGGGCAAAACAGAAATGCCAAATTACCCACAGACTCGCCTGGGATTTCACAGGCAATAAAGGACAAGACAGGTGCATCTTTCTCAAGGGCCAGGCTACGTGATATAAGTCTTACATATACAGAGTACAAGATTCACTCTTTAGAAATATTGCAATTGATCTAATTTTAAAGGATGAGATTCTCCAATAAGTGTCTAGAGCCTTGGCTGTTGAATTTTAGGCTCCTAGGTAAGATTGTAAGTGTCAGGATCTCATGTTAGTGTATTTTATGTTTAAATTATAAACATTACATTTAAGTTATAAACCCCAATCTAAAGTACAAATGTAACTGACCAAACACTAATGCAATTTTACTGTTAAATCTAGATTTTAAAACCATGCAAACATTAACAGATACAAAAAAACAAGTAAACAAAACTACAGATACACTTCCTCAAGACTTTCAGTCCCTGGAGCTTTTCCAGGAAATGGAAATGGAAATGGAAAGTTGGCCACTCTTTGACTCAAATTCATCATATTTTCATGTGCTTTCTCTCCTTATGGGAAAAGCTGATTATGTTATTTTCCCCCAAATTACCTTGACTGTTGGCTGGCAGGACACAGCTTGCAACCTGAGAAATTTCTTCTGGCTTTATACACACACACATGCACACACACGCACACACACATGTGCACACACATACACACGCATGCACATGCACACACGCGCACACACACGCATATGCACATGCACATGCACATAGGTTCCTCTTGTAATTAGGAAGGGGCTTTAGCGAATGAGCATGGTGCTGTCCTCCCTTTGAAATTGTGCCTAAGAGTGGTACATAGCAGCCTTTTTGTTCTAATCAGTCAGGTAAAATGTTTGCTGGGTCCCATTTTCTCTTGGGGTTGATCCATGGGGAAATGCCTGCTGACGTATGAAATCTTAAAAGTTTTTTGCCTAACGAAGTCTATCACCTTGTCTTTGAACTTAAGCTCGTCTGAGCTGGACACTAGTGCATTTACTTTCATAATATGGAGTATACTTTGCATAAAGAAATAAGAAAGAGTAGGTAGTGGAAAACATAAAGTCCAGCATTTTGTTAGATTACACAATTGTCAGGTGACTTGGGGATCATCAATCCACAAAGAACATGAGCAAGTCAGACAACCACTCAGCCAGTAGCTGGTCTTAGAGCAGAGCGAAAACAATTGGCACCCGATGCATAAACATATGGGGGACTGACACAACAGTTCTCATTTTAGGGTTTGCTTTCACTAGACTTACTTTATTTAGTTTTATGTGACATTGAATTTTTATTATAAAGGTAATATGTATTCTTTTAAATAAATCAAATAAACCAGAGATATGTAAAGAAAAATTATTAATCTCCTCACCATCTTCTTTCAATTCTCTCTTACTCAGGTATCCAATTTTAACAATTTCAAATGTGTTTCTCTGCATTTTTCTCTATACACACACATTTATATCACATACACATAGGTTTAAAAATAGTTGTTTACCTTTTTTTCTTTGAGACAGGATCTCGCTGTGTTGCCTAGGCTAGAGTACAGTGTCATGATCTCAGCTCACTGCAACCTCCGCCTCCTGGGTTCAAGCGATTCTCCTGCCTCAGCCTCCCAAGTAGCTGGGACTACAGGCATGTGCCACCAGGCCCAGATAATTTTTTTGTATTCTTAGTAGAGACAGGGTTTCACCACGTTGGCCAGGCTGGCCTCGAACTCCTGACCTCAGGTGATCTGCCTGCCTTGGCCTCCCAAAGTGCCAGGATTACAGGCATAAGCCACCACGCCCAGCCTGTTTTCTTTTTTATATAAAAACAAAATGATGCCATGCTTGTTGCCCTGTAGATTTTTTTTTTAATTTACAATAATGTGAAGATTTTTTTCAGTTCAACTCTACATCACTCTTTTTAATTCCTGTATAAATTCCACATAATGCCAGATCGTAATGTCATAATGCATTTAATTTTTCCAGATTTTTGCTACTCAAAACCAAAAATAACACGTTTGCAATGATAAGTTTAGTACCTGAGCTTTATAAAACGTGGTCTAGGTGTATTACAAAAAGGACGTTTGGAAGACTATTATGAACTTTATGTGACTCCTTCCACAATAATCACATTCCTTTACTGGAACTCACTCATTTCTAGTATTCAATGATGAATTGTGGCTCTATTTGTAGATGAATGGTGAAAAACAGAGACAGACATTCACAAGAAAAACAGAAAAATGTTAGAAAGATATGCTTTCATTTACTTATCCAGAATAATTTCATGGGAGCTTCATTTCATCCAAAGACTTCTCCATTCAATCACAGATTGAAAGGTATGCATGAAAGAGGAAGTCTCAAGACAATTCAAATACTTGCTTAGACCTGTGATATTTTAACATAACCTGGTTGAACATTGGGTAGAAAGCAATCTAACTTTTTTTCTAGGTTATTACATGTTACCTGAGGGTCGACATATTCACTTTGTACCAGTGGAGCTTATTTCATTTTAAGAAAAACAAATTGCTTGTCAAGTAATGAATCCAAGACAGCCAAAAATCAAGGCAGCCATTCATGTATTTGAAAAATCTCAGTTAAAAAACCATCTGGCTATAAACTTCAGGAAATCTTCCTTATTAAATTATTGATACTATTTTATCCCTTAAATCAGCCTTTCAAGACATAATTCCATTCTGGGTTCAGTGGCTCATGCCTGTAATCACAACACTTTCGGAGGCTGAGGCAGGAGGATCGCTTGAGCCCAGGAGTTTCAGATTACAGTGAGCTATAATCAGTCACATCACTGTACTCCAGACTCGGTCACAGAGCAATACACTGTCTCAAAGACAAAAAAGAAAGAAAGAAAAAAGAAAGAACTGCATTCCTAAATCAGGTTTATTCCATTCTCTATGGTTAATATAATTCATCAGCCAGACATAGCACACATTTCTTCCCAAATGCTGTAGCTTTCCAGATCACTTTCCTCTTGGTTTTCCTCAAGCCTATGATCAATTTTTCAGAAATCTTGGAGTCTGGAAGTCCCATTCTTCCTTGCATACTTTTCACAGTGGTATACTAGCTTAGAGCCCAACCAGACATCTGGTAAGTCAGTGCTAGGACATAGGTGGGTGGTCCATATATTTGGGATCAGTAGCAGTGCTAGATCTTTCCTGGAGATGCTTA